TAAAGGTTCAAGGGATGCCAGACGCTGTCTTTGTTTGTCCTCTATGTCCAGCACCCAAAGTGCTCAATGACTGTCCACTTACTTTTTCAAACACGGGGAGATAACGATCTGTTACTTTCTCTTTGATCTGGGCAATCTTGGCCTCTTTCTGATCAGGTGGACACAGAGGCAAAACGAGGATCATTTCATTCAAATCTGCCATACCTTCTGTGTACATATCTATCCTGAAAGACAAAATGACCAAATTGTCAAATGTCTTCTGCCTTGATTTTAGAGTTGAAAAATGTATGAGAATGGGGCATCAGGAGGTGGCAAAGTAATTCAGCTCCATTTTATGCATTTTTATATACCAGTCATTCAGTCAAATCAAATTTTTACTTGATTTGAACATTTCATCCTAGAATAAGCCATCAAGGTAGATATGTGTCTAAAACTTTCATTATACACATGATGAAATAGAGGGACAGAGAGCATTGGTGACCTGTCCAGAGTCACAGGGAAATTGGTGGAATCCTGCAAATACCTACTGGGACCATACCTAGGGTCTGTCACCTCCATGGTGGCTTGTTCTGGGCACAAACGGAGTGTGACTCCATGTGGCTGACCTGCCCCCTAAGTGATCTCCAGAGAGAGTCCCTGGCACAACCATCTCAGTCATGTCCCCTTCCTCTCTCATCCTGTTACACCACCCAGGCCTGTTTAAACCAATGTCAGCAGGTTTTCCAATAATTTCCCACAGCACATGTTTCTACACTCTGTCCACATACAGTTGCCCAACTCTGGCCTTGTTCGCATTTCTCAAGTCTTCACCTAAAATATCTCCTGAAATGGTGAAATACTTTGTACATTCCAAGTAGCACATATTCCAGCAGAGTAGTTTTGAATGTTCCAAGTTGGGCTTTCTGTAAGAGTTTTTTTTTTTAATAAATCTTTATTGGCACATAATTCAATACCATAATGTGTATACTTCAAGAGTGTTTAAGTTTGTGATTTTTATAGTAAAGACACAGAATTCTGTACCATCACCACACACTAATTACAGAATATTTTCCTAGTCCCAAAAGAAATGCTGTATGCTTTTACACCCATTCTAATTTCTTCCCTCCTCCACCCCTGGCAACCACTAAACTGCTTTCTGTTTCTATATATTTGAATGTTCTGGATATTTCATACAAATGGATTCACACAATATGTGCCCTTGTGTCTGGTTTCTTTCATATAACATGATGTTTGCAAGGTTTATCCATGTTGTAGCATGCATCAGTACTTCATTCCTTTTCATGGCCAAACAATATTGCATTGATAAGTAGACTAACCACTCATCAGTTGATGCACATTTGTGTCATTTCCACATTAAGAATTTTAAGAACACCACTGCTATAAACATCTGCGTACAAGTTCTAGCGTGGATGTGTTTTCAGTAGTCTTATTTGCATACCTAGTAATGGAGTTGCTGGAATATGGCAACTCTATGGTTCACTTTTGAGCAACTCATAACAGTTTCTGAGATTTAAATTTCAATCATGTGGTCCCATAACCACAGAGAGAACCCACAGATATGGTTGTATTGACTAAATCTGGCTACTTCGGTCCTGTATCAAAATGCTCGTGATAACCCTGGCATCTTGAGGACCATGCTTTGCTAACCCTTGTCAAGCGGCCAGTCCATATAACAGGCTGATAAGTGAGGTTCTTGATCATCATTTTGATCATTTCTGAACCTTCAGAGTCAGCGCCTTTGGATCCTTCTGTTCCCTAGTCTTATCTGCCGGACACTCAGACTCATCCTTTGTCTCTAGCTGTTGGCTGATATCCAGCTCCTAAAGGCCTGAGTACTGAGAATAGTGACTCCACCATCTTTCTGGCTTCCTAGTTCATCAGCGTTAGCAAAAGACTGTCATCATATGTGCTCTATATGTGGACCACTTCCTTTTCTGTAATCCCACTTGGTGAATCCACTCCTAGGGGAATCCCTCATCCTCACAGCTCTCTGTGGTTTTGGACCTCAATCTATACCGCCAAGTCCTGTGCTGCTGCTGGCCATGATCCCCCCAACGCAGTCCTGCCTGCCCAAGAACCCAAATTTTTACATTAATTGCTGATGAAAGAATAAAAAAAAAGTACTGTACAGAGCTCTCTCCTTTATGTCTTTTCCATAGAGGTTGTATTTGGTGGCAACGTAGTTGAGAATGGCTCTGGTCTGGACCATCTTCATTCCATCAATTTCAACCATTGGCACTTGCTGGAACATCAAATTTCCATCTTTTGAAAAAAGAAAGAAGAAGCAGAGTGACATATTTTATGGATCATACTCTCTTAACATGAAAAACGTTTGTTGCCATGACCGAAGATATAAAAGGAAACAAAAATTATTGCCTGGTAACATTTCACCATATCTGTATTTTGGTTTTTGCATCCTCTAATCCTCTTTGATCTCAGTCTGCATTTTACTTTTCACCTATTATTTCATTTATCTTTTTTGGAAAAATTTTTAATTTTTTTTTTTTTTGAGAGAGAGAAAGAGAGGTGAGCGAGAATGGGGGAGGGGCAGAGAGAGAGGGAGACACAGGATATGAAGCAGCCTCCAGACTCTCAGCTGTTAACACAGAGCCTGATGTGGGGCTCAGACCCACGAACAGTGAGATCATGACCTGAGCCAAAGTCAGACGCTCACCGACTGAGCCACCAAGACGACCCTCATTTATCTTTTTATTTACCATCCAGATACATGGTAGGTTCCTGTATTTTTTGTGGTTGATTTACTTTCATGGTGTTTTAGGAAATGTTGAGAGAGGCTACACCAGGGCCAACATCGCATTCAGTTCAAATGAAACATTCCAAAGTAAGTCTCTGGGTTCATGCCATTAAGGCGAATTTGAAGGGAGATTTCTATGTAGGGTGTTTTGCTTGTTCCCCCAGTTCTACCACTGGACAGTGTGTATCGGGCAAGCCCTGGTTTCCTGACTCTGCTGATGCGAGTAGTGCTTGAACTTTGTTCTTCATCTCCATCTTCATACTGTCACCTGGCCTTTCAATTAATCCAACTAAACCATCTTATTATCTGAGTCTATGATATTGCTAGGATATAAGCTTGCAATAATCGTCAGAGAAAAGAACTCACACAACTGCTGGCCTATTTCTACTCTTTTCATTCTACTGCATGGGTTTGAGAGTCCTTGCCTGGGCAGGCTATGTGGGATCCTGAACTGACCCAGCTCACTTGGGGGCAGAAAAGCTGGAGAGTGCAAGGAGAGGGCATTCACAGGAC